TGAGAAGAGTCTGGCTCCCTCTTCTTCACTTCCTTCCCATCAGGTATTTATACCCATTGATAAGATCACCCCAAGCCTTCTCTTCTCTAGGCTGAAAAGTCCTAGCTCTCTCATCCTCTTCTCACATGAAAGATGCTCAAGTCCCTTAATTATCTTTGATTATGATCTTTGAATCATGAGCCCTGGGGTCCTGGTGGACAACAAGCTGGAGATCAACCAGCACTCATGGGTGCAACCTGTCAGGCCCCAGGGACTTACGTATGTCCAGTTTGTTTAAGTGCTCCTGACCTGGTGGTCCTCCACTGAAGGTAAGTCTGTCTTGCCCTTTCTTGTCTTTCCCTCTGGTTGCAGAGATCTGGGATCCCTGAAGGCTGGTCTTCCCAGTCAAGACAGGCAAAGATGGCATCGAGTACCTTAACCTTTTCAGTGTGATTTGTCACAAGTTCCCCCACTCCATTCAGCAGTAGGTCCATGGTTTCCCTAGTCTTCCTTTTGCTGATTATGTACTTGTAGAATCCTTTCTTGTTTCCTTTCACATGCCTTGCCAGATTCAGCTCCAGGTTGGCCTTCACTTTCTTAAACCTGTCCCTGCAAGATGAGACAGCAGCTCTATATTTCTCCTGGGTCACCTCTCAATGCTTTTCCAGTGCTAGTAAACATTCTTTTTATGTCTTGAGTTCAGTTAGGAGTTCCTTGCTCATCCGTACAGGCCTCCTGCAACCTTTGCTTGATTTCCTACTTGTTGAGATGGACCTTTCTTGAGCTTGGAGGTGGTGATCCTTGAATATTAACCATCTTTCTTGGTCTTCCCTCCAGGGTGGGTTCCCGTGGATTCTTTCTTCCAAGCAGATTTCTGAAGAGATTGAATTCTGCTAATCCAAAATCCATAGTTGTGGTCCTGCTTTTTGCCCTGCTCCTGCCTGTTTAGGATCCTGAATTCCTACATATCAGAGAGCATCTCTATCCATCCCTCGCTTTTTTTAACAATGCCCAACTACAGGGCAAGCGCTATGGTTCACATACCCCTCATTCCTGGAGTTCATTTTTAAAGGCATCTCAAAAATCACTTCTGTTTCACCTTTCTGCTGTTACTGTTGTAATACAAAGCATTGCAAAAACAAACAAACAAAAATCTTCTATTACTATTTTCCTGAGAGTCGAAAATAGGGGTATCTATTTGTTTTATGTCCATTCTATTATTCCAGTTCAATAAGGACTTGCCAAAACATTCATCTTTTTTGGGAGGCATACAGGTACCTCCCCCATTAGAAATCATTTAGGCCTTACAGAAACTTAATCACAGAAATGTAGGCAAAATATTCAAAAAAGCAATTTTTTTTGTCATATCCTTGGTAACTGTTTCCACAGGTCCTTTCCCAGCCATCAGTGCTTCATGATCACAGTAAAAATGTGATCATGAAACATTTCATGATCTGGAATGATCATGAAATTCCAGAATGCTCATTCATAGAATGAGCATCTGCTACACCATCTGGATGCTCACAAGTCTTTTATCAGCAGGCCTGGTTAACAGGGGAAGGTCCCAGACGACTGGAGGCTGGCCAATGTGATGCCCATCTACAAGAAGGGCCGGAAGGAGGATCCAGGGAACTACAGGCCTGTCAGCCTGACCTCGGTGCCGGGGAAGATTATGGAGCGGTTCATCTTGAGGGCACTCATAAGGCATGAGCGGGACAACCAGGGCATCAGGCCCAGCCAGCA